TTTTTTTTTAATCCAATCTGATAGCCTGTTTCTTTTGATTGGGGCATTTAGCCCATTTACATTCATGTTAACTATTGAAAGATAGGAATTTAGTGTCATTTTATTGCCAGTATGGTGACTGTGACTGTATATTGTCTGTGTTCCTTTCTGCTCTATGTTGCTTTTAGTCTCTCTCTTTGCTTAGAGGACCTTTTCAATATTTCTTGTAGGCCTGGTTTTGTGTTTGCAAATTCCTTTAGTTTTTGTTTGTCCTGGAAGCCTTTTTATCTCTCCTTCTATTTTCAATGACAGCTTAGCTGGATATAGTATTCTTGGCTGCATATTTTTCTTGTTTAGTGCTGTGAATATATCATGCCAGTTCTTTCTGGCCTGCCAGGTCTTTGTGGATAGGTCTGTTGCCAGTCTATTATTTCTACCATTATAGTTTATCTATCTCTTTTCCTGAGCTGCTTTCAAGATTTTCTCTTTGTCTCTGAGACTCATAAGTTTTACTATTAGATGTCAGGGTGTTGACCTATTTTTATTGATTTTGAGAGGGGTTCTCTGTGCCTCCTGGATTTTGATGCCTGTTTCCTTCCCCACATTAGGGAAGTCTTCTGGTATAATTTGCTCCAATATACCTTCTGCCCCTCTCTCTTTCTTCTTCTTCTGGGATCCCAATTATTCTAATGTCGTTTTGTCTTATCGTATCGTTTATCTCCTGAATTCTGTTCTCGTGATATAGTAGTTTTTTACCTTTTTCTCAGCTTCTGTACTTTCCATCATTTGGTCTTCTATATCGCTGATTCTCTCTTCTTCTTCATTTATCCTAGTAGTTAGTGCCTCATTTTTTTGCACCTCATTAATAGCCTTTTTGATTTCGACTTGGTTAGATTTTAGTTTTTTTATTTCTCCAGAACGTTTCTCTAATAACTTCCATGCTTTTTTCAAGCCCAGCTAGTATCTTTAAAATCATGATTCTGAACTCTAGGTCTGACATCGTACTAACATCCATATTGAGTAGGTCCCTGGCAGATGGTACTACCTCTTGTTCCTTTTGTTAGGGGATTTTTTTTCATCTTGTCATTTTGTCCAGAGGATTATAGATGAATGAGAGCACAAAATGCTAAGAGGTTAACAACATCCCCAGAAAATATACTCTAAACAAATCCGAAAACCAGGGGAAAAGAAAGAAAAAATAAAGACAAAAAAAAGAAAAAGAAAAAGAAAAAGATAAAAACAAACAAAACAGAAGAAAACAACAAAAACAGAATATGATCAAATATGATCAGGCTGGTGCATAGATCAGTGCCATACAGTAGATTTTGGTCTGCTAGAAGAAAGTGCCTCCTACAATTTTAAAAAAAGAAAGACTTAAATATGTACAAAATAAGGGTTGATACAATGAATGGATGGAATATGACTGTAAAGATGCAAATTATAAAAAATTTTTAAAAAGGCATTAATAAGAAGATGTTTGAAAAAGGAAAGAGGATTAAAAGAAAAGAAAGAAAAAAAAGGGGAGATAATGTGATCAGGCAGGAGACTAGAACAAAGCCATACACTAGAGATTTAGGGTATATTTCGATATGTTAGAAGAAACTGTATCTCAAAATGTTAAAGAGAGTGCAACTTATATATATGTATATATATGCCAAAAATAAGGGTAATCTATGAAGGGAAAGAATATGACTCTAAAAATGAAAAATAATTTTTTTTAAGAAAGGGATTGATAAGATGTTGGTTGAAAAGGGGAAAAAGAAAAATTCAAAAAAATAAACAGTTAAAAAAATTAACTTTGAAAGACTAATGAATCATGGTGAAAAAGCCATGAATTCTATGTGCAGTATTTCCTTAGCGCTGGAGTTCTCCTGTTCTCTTTGATCAGTAAACTTGGTCTTGGCTGGCTGTTTATGCTGATCTTCTGGGGGAGGGGCCTGTTGCCGTGGTTCCCAAATCTCTTGGCCGGAGGCAGAATTGCCCCACCATTGTCGGGCCGGGCTAAGCAATCTGCTCGGGTTTGCTCTGGGGAGCTTTTGTTCCCTACAAGCTTTTCGTACAGCTTTGGAGGTCGAGAGTGAAAATGGTGGTCTCCCAATCTCCACCCTGGAGGAGCCGAGACCTCGGGGCCCGCTCCTCAGTGCGCCCCCAGAGGAAAGTAGTCAATCACTCCCGTCTCCCTGGTCTCCGGCCGCAATCCGTGCTCACCCGGCCTGTGACCGAGCGTTTGTATCTCTGGCACCCGACCCCGTGTGGAGTCTCCAAACCCAGGAGATCCCTGCAGTGCGCTATCGCGCCGCTCCTCCCAGAGGAGGAAGGGGAGTCTCCTCAGATCTGCTGCTTGTTGGGTCCCTGCAGGAGGAGCAGTGGCCCGAATGTCACCGATCACAGTTTATGGCAACCCCGAGGTGAGAGCCCCTGCCTCAGCTCTGTCTCTGCAGCCGGCTTCCCCGCTCTGATCCCTGGGAACTCTGCTGCACTCAGGCACCCCTGGTCTTTCTGTGACCCCAAGGGTCCTGAGACCACACTGTCCCGCGAGGGTTCCACCCGCAGCTTAGCCACTGGAGCGACGTCCCTCAGCGGAACCGACTTCTAAAAGTTCTGATTTTGTGCTCCGCGGCTCTATCACTTGCCAGAAGCGGCTGACAGAGCCCCCTCCCCCGCCGTCTTCCTCCGGAATATCACCTCGGATTCACTTCTCCGCATGTCCTACCTTCCAGAAAGTGGTCACTTTTCTGTTCAGAGTTGTTGCTATTCTTTTCTTTGATCTCCTGTTGAGTTCATAGGTGTTCAGAATGGTTTGATCCCTATTCAGCTGAATTCCTGAGACCAGACAAAATCCAGGTCTCGTACTCCTCCGCCATCTTGCCCCCTTCCATTCACTTAGATTTTTTAATCTATGAAGAAAAAGTGATTATTTTGGATGTGCATTGAGCACCCCAATTTCAGTTTTAAATTCCAGCCAGTTGTACCCCAATCTGTCCACTGTTGATTGGTTACTTATGGAAACACTGGAACCAGGGTCCTGGAGGGTCTCCCGCAAGAGTCAGGTGACTGGTATCTCTCTTAGCAAAGAAGTCGCTTGAGTCATGTGGGGAAACCCTCTCTTCAAATCAGGGACCCGAGTGTGGGAGAGTGTAAGGTGGAGGAGGAAGGCACGGAGGGTATGCAAACCACAATAAACCTCCATCCTTTGTCCCATCCAGAATCTAGACCGGTTCCCAGGATGAACAGCAGCACCAGCCCAAAAAAGGACCCAGAGATGACTATGGTAAATGCGACGGGCGTTTTCAGTTGTGCCTGTTTCTGGAAGTTACTCCTGTAGGGACAGCACCCTGTCCTGGCCTTGTGGCTGTTGGGTGCGTTCTGTGATCTATCTGAGGCATCCTTCCCCTTTCAGAATGCAAGCTGTTTACCCAGGAGCCTCCAGGCTTCCCCATTAGAGATCCTCCGCTTCCGTGCTTCCTCCCGAAGTTGTAGATGCTTAGAGGCAAATGATGGTAGGATGCTCACCTCAAATGTGTGTGTGTGTGTGTGTGTGTGTGTGTGTGTAAACCCTTGGAGGAGGGCAACATCTCACTGCACACTGAAGTCGGCCAGTCCCGCTGACTCCTTGCAATTTGCTTTCCTGCGGGAGTGGCAGTGGTGTTGGTTTTCGGGTCAGGAGACTAACCTGGGAGAATGTCTGCGGTAATTCTCACAGCTGGAAATGGGAAAAGCCATGCCCTGCCTCACATTCTGTACCATGTGCTCTGGGCAGCTGTGAGTGTTGGTGGAGAAGGTGAGCTGCGACCTCATGTGCATTCCATCTGTGTTGGTAAAGACGCGACCCAGAATCCCTCCAGTTGCACCCTGGGTGAGATGAAGGTGAAATCTGCCAGGTGCCAGTTGTGTGGTGAAAAACGCCCCCCAGAGCACAGCTGTCAAGAGGGAATCCCGGTGAGTCCCTGCAGGGCCCACACCTCATACATGTTTCAGCTGTGCTCCTGTGAGCAGGTTCTGATGCGGTTTGGTGGCTGTGCCACCTGATAGCGTCTCTCCTGATCCATCCTGGGAGGGTCACACCTGCTCTCCAGACACATTGGTTTGCATCCGGGGATGCAGAATCGGCCCCTCCGTGGTTCTTGGCACCAAGGACGATGCATTTGCTCTGTGCCTGAGCTAAGGAGCATTGGAATGTCGGTGATGCAGATCCACAGAGCTGGGTCTCACTAATTCATAGGGATCGTGCACCTCTCAGCACTTTTCCAGGCCCGCTGCTGGACTCCAGAAATTCCTGTCTCCTGAGCGGTGTCTGTGGCCATGGACAGCACTTGGGAGAGGAGAATGCCCCTTTGTCAGGGAGAGAATCAGAGCAGGTTCAGGCGGGGGCTGTTGGGCAGCAGTTGGACCCACGAGGGGCTGTTCTTCCATCTTGGACACTGGGCTTCCCATTGCCCCTCATTCTGTCTGTGCTCAGTATAGAGAAGGAGATGCTGTAGTTTTCACAGCGGGTGAAGGGTGGTCCTGGACGTGCTGGCCCATCTGTAATAGACCCTTTTATTAGTTTGGTATTAACTCTGCCAAGCCTTTGGGGCAGATTCCGTGCCTCTGTAGAGTTGCAGACATATATTAACATGTGGTGACAGTTGTTTATCCCCATGGCATCTGTTCACCCCAGGCCATAGGTGGGATGCAGGACACAGGTAACCTCTGGCAGTGATGCTCCTGTCTTGGAACGTGGTGGTGGAGAAGGTTTCAGGTGCTAAGACCTGTTTCTTTGGGTTTCAGCTTTTGTTGGTGTTGTTACTTTTCTGTCTCATCTCAGCCTATAGTTTATTTTGTGTGTGTACGTCTGTATGGATGCACAGGGGCTTCGTCATTTCCCAGGACCAGCCTGCGGGCCTTACCCCAGGGGTCCTACCTTATCACCGTTCCTGTACTATGGGCCACGTTCACAGCCTGCACCCTGCTGGCCTCATGAACCTCACCGACCACCTCCACCTCCTGCATTTGGTAAAGTGATCTGAACAGTAGGTCTTGACTTGCAAAGCATATCCATCTTTCTCCACGAGGAGACTTTGGAGAAGATGTAGAAGTGCTGCCCTAGGGCTTTGTATTGCAGGGGTTTCCCTGGCTAAAGACATTCCAAGATTCATCAGTTTCTACCCTATTACTACATTGTGGGGCTGTGTCGTTTTTCCATTTTGATCTGGGTAACAGTTGTCTCTTGTAGAGAGAGAAAGACATTTTACAGAATATCAGACATAACGTTTTTCAGCCTGGCTATTTCCCACATTTTGGGCTGTTGAGGGATGAAGCACACTGCTCAGTTCATTTTTTTAAAAAGATTTTGTTTATTTATTTGACAGAGGAACAGAGAGAGAGCACAAGTAGCCAGAGTGGCAGACAGAGGGAGAGGGAGAAGCAGGCTCTCTGAGGAGCAGGGTGCCTGACACAGGGCTCAATCCCAGGATCCCGGGATCATGACCTGAGTCAAAGGCAGACACTTAACGGACTGAGCCAACCAGTGCCCCAGCTCAGTTCATTTTTAGCTGCTTGAGCCTGGACTGTTTTTTCCTTAGCTATGGAAACACCTGAAGGAAGGTGGCGGGCTGTTGTCCCTTCTTTGGGGGGGAAGGACAGGTCTTCCCCTTGATTTCAGGCATCAGCAGAAACATGTGGGAAATGCTCTATGTCTGAGAAGGGACCCGAGAGTGGGAGAGAAGGAAATGTGATGGCAGCAGGTTTGGAGCGTTTGTTTGAATTCTGCACAGTCAATGCCGGTCTGAATCCACCTCCATCGGTTCTAGGGCTTTGGTCTGATGCTGAAGCTGCTGGGGCTCCCATGAGGAACAGGGACAACGAGCCTCATAGAGGTCCAGGGATGGGCAAGGTAACTACTTTGGCCTCTACCAGGTGTTCCAGAAACTTCCCTTACTGAACTACATCCAGGCCTGGCCTTGTGTCTGTTGTGTGGGTCCTGTAGTTTGTCTGTGGTGTCGTTTACCTTTCAAAATGCCAGCAATTCACCCAGGAGCTGACAGGCTTCTTCGTTACAAATCACCTTCAGTGGCACCTTCCAAAGCCACAGGTGCTTAGAGGTGAAGGATGGCGGGGCGCTCACTGTGTGTGTGTGTGTGTGCATCCACCCCTGCCAGCCCACAATGCCCGTGGGGGGGAATTAACTTGAGAAGGATGACACCTCACTCCAAGGTGAAGTCTCTGGCCGGCCTGACTCCCAGTCAGTAGGTGCAATTGGTGTAGTGTTCGTGTTGGGGTTAGATGATTAACCTGTGAGAAGGTCTGTGGTAATCCTCACAACTGGAAACTAGGGGAACCTCTTCTCCATTTTATAGTGTTTGTTTGGCAGTTTGGAATGTTCTTAGATAGGGCAAGTTTCATAAGTCATCCATGTTTTACTTCTGCTGGTAAAAATGCTGTACAGAATCCCTCTACATGTTACCCTTTCTACAACTGTTTTGAATTTTCAAAGCTGTTGGGTGGACTGGCACACAGGTTCTGAAGGGGGGATGTCAGTGATTAGCTGCGTGACCCGTGCCTCATAAGCCCTTCCGTTGGGCTTCTAGGAGCAGGTCGTTTTGGTCCTATGTCACTGTGAGAGCTGGTTTCTTCTCTCATCACATGCTCTGGAGTTGTCCATCAGAAAGCATATATATTTTTGTGAATTCTCTTATTTAGCCTTCCCATCTTAATTTCCCACTGGACAAAATTGCTCTGGAACTCAGTTTGCGGAAATTTCCGAAGAGTGTGTTTTAAGATAAACACAGCTTCTGCACATAAATAAGGGCTATTGGTATCATGTTCCTCTCAGAAAATCCTTTTCTAGGCCCCCTGTCAGACCACAGGCCCCTAATTCCTCCAGGGTCTTTGTGGCCTTGGGCAGAAACTGCAGAGAGTAGAAGACCGCTTTGTCGGGAAGTGAGGCAGGTGGGGACAGTCTGGGGCTTGGCAGGCAAAGGATTCAGCTCGAGTGGCTCGGATTACTCATGGAGAAAGGGCATTCAGTTTTATCACATTCTGTCTCTTCTTAACAAACCCAAATCTACAGTGGTTGAAGAGGAAAGATGAAGTGTTGCCCAAGATGTCAATGCCTCCGTGTCTGGAGTATGCTGCTTTACTCGTATCCAATGATCCCTTTTCACCTTTTAAGACACTACTTCTTGGTATTGAGCGTTGGCAGACAGGGGTAGTGATGTTTGGTGACAGTAGGTTATTTCTGTAATATCTATTCCTCTGCTCCGTGCCTTATTATAGTTGGTACCACCAGAGAGGGATAAAGTTTTCTAGCATGATGCGCCTCTTCTGGAATGTGGTATTGGAGAAGAAGCCAGATGCTGAGAGCTTGCTCTTTGGGTTTCATCTCTTGGTGTTGCAACTTTTGGCTGTCTTAGCCGAATATTTTGTCCTCTGTCCTGCAGGTCAGTACGGATGTGAGAGGGTTTCCTCATGCTCCAAGCCCCCCCCCCCATATGCCCTACCGCACGGGGCGGTGTTTACCAGGCTTCACTGGCTATGGGCTACCTCAGCCTCCTCCACATGGGTGGACAGGGGGGTCTCACCCACAGCTCGTTCCTCCACCACATGGTAAGTTGATCTGAATTGGATGACATGAGTTGCAAAGTATATTCCTTGTTTAAGTACTTCTGTCAGTGGAGAAGATGTAGAGGAGGTACCACAAGCTTTGCGATGCAAGGATAGACCTGAGTGAGGACATAATAACATTCTTCAGCTTTCTGTGGACGTCCATTTCATGGACTGTCTTGTTTCACCCTACAGAACCGGGCAGCAGGTGTCTGCCATGGAGACGAAAAGTGACATTTTGCAAAAGACAAACATGAAAGCATTGCCCAGGTGCATAGCACAGACACAGTGTTTTGGGCTCTGGGATGCATGGAGTGCAACCTTCCCCTCACTCTTACTTGTGGAGGCCCCAGTTGTCCAGTGTTATTGATTAGTTATGAAAACATCTGTCCCTGGGTGGAGTGGTCACATCCTCAGGGGTGAGGGACTGGTCTCTCCTTTGGCCACAGGGGTGAGAGGAGACCTGTGAGTAACTCTCTGCATCTGGATGAGACGTGGCAGTGGGAGAGAGTGGAAGAGTGTGGGGTAGGTGTAGAGGGTTGGCTTACATCCTGCATGGTCAAGGCCAGTCTGAATCCACCTCCATCTCTTCTAGGGCTTCAGTCATATTCAGAAACCTGTGGCGCTCAAGGGGACAACAGTGGCACCCCGCCCAAGAAGGTCCCGCAGAAGGACCAGGTAAATACTGTGGCTGTTTTTAGTTGTAATCATTTCTGGAATCCTGTTCCTGTCTGGGCAGCACCCTGTCCTGACCTTGTATCTATTGGGTTTGTCCTGGTATCTGTGTGTGGTGTCATTTACAAAGGTAAATGTAAGTCTTCATTCAGAGCCTACAGGCTTCTCTGTTTCCAGATCATCACCTTAGGGTTGTGTCGGTGGAAGAAACACAGAGTTTTGTTGAAGCCTTGACATTGCAAGGGGAATCCTGGCTGGGCATGTTTTAACATCCTGAAGTTTCACAGGACATACATGTGTTGTGCTTGGCGATTTCCATGCACTCAGCAGTGGGGGAGGTGCTGTTGTTGCGAAGGAAGTGTCTTTATTGCACAATGGCAGACATATATTTCTTACCATCGTGCACGTCCAGACTCCACATTTGTTGTTCTGGGAGGGATGATACACACCTCACATTTCGTTTGCAGCATGTTGAGTTTGAGCTGTCATTTCATTAGTTATATAAACACCTGAAGCAAGGCTATTGTCCCTTGATTAATCATTAGGGTAGGGGTCTGTCCCTTGTCCTCGAGAGTCAGTGGATACTTCTGGGAAACACTCTTGTCCACTGGAAACAGTGGCAGATGCTGGAGGCAGGTGTAGATGGTTGTTGGAAATTTGCTCAGTCACTTCCAATGGGCTGGTCTTCTGTCTTTTCTCTGACATGGGTCAGATACAGACGCTGGGGCATCCTCCATAAGGAATAGCAGTCCTGCATGCAGGCGTCCCATGTTATGGGAGAGTGAATATTGCTAAGGACATGATAACTTTCTTCAGTTTGCTCAGGAGATACATTTGATGCACTTTGTCTTTCACTCATACTGAGGTGGTTGGCAGGTCCCTTTGTGGTGAAGGAGAGCCGCTCTTCTCCAAAAGCTGGGCATAGCAGGTATGCGCACGCACACTCTACAGAGATGATATTCCATGCTCTGGGAGGGATGACGCCTACTCTTTTTTTTTATTGTTATGTTAATCACCATACATTACATCATTAGTTTTGGATGTAGTGTTCCATGGTTCATTGTTTGTGCATAATACCCAGTGCTCCACGCAGAACGTGCCCTCTTTAATACCCATCACCAGGCTAACCCATCCCCCCATCCCCCCTCCCCTCTAGAATCCTCAGTTTGTTTTTCAGAGTCCATCGGGGATGACGCCTACTCTTAACGTTAGGAATTTAACGTGTCTGAGAGCAGGGAGGGACACATTCGTTAAACGACATAGATGTTGTGTTCCGTAAAAGGGAAGCACCAGCGATGGATCTGAAGGACAAGAGAGGGAGCCATGAGTCACTAGAAACAGGAGGTTGTGGATGAGAAGGATGGAGGTGCTCAGGGGAGTGGATGGGCCTCTCTCGGGTAGAGCAGGGGCCGTTCCTCGCAGGCCAGCAGCTTGAGCAGTGAGTGTGAGGACACCATGACACCCACACCGAGTTGCTGCCTGTGTCCTTCACACGGTGTGGATAATGCAGTTATTTGTACCTGAACGTCACTGTTGCCATAAAGCTGTTCCTTCATACTCTATAAAGATTGTTGTTTCCGCTGGGTTTCTGAAGTTTCTGAACTGGGTGACAGAATGTGGTGGAGATTTGGGAAATTTAACTTGGTTCCTTTGGGGATTCTCGTCTGCCTGAGTTTGTGGGCCCCAGTGAGAAAAAGTGAAGACGGGACCGAGATCAGCAGAGTGGCTGCCTTGGCCTTCAGCCTGAGCCAGACTCTTCGTGGGGAATTCAGGATTGACCAGGATCCACACTAGGTGGATCCCTGTCTCTACGTCTCTGCCTCTGAGTCACCACTCTGCCTGCACTTTGCATCTCCCTGAACTTCGTCACAGGATCCTGTGGATTTACCTGTGTTCCTGATTTCTCAGCCCGAATGCCTGCTCTCAGTGGGGCCTACTTAGGGCCTCAGCTTTGTTATCTGTGCAAGGGGAGCATATTGGTTTCTGAGGTGATTAGAAGAATAGGAGTTGAAGTACATAAAGAATCTGCAGGGGCCCCTGGATGGCTCAGTGGGTTAAGCATCGGACTCTTGATGTCTGCTCAGGTCATGATCTCAAGGTTCTGAGATCGAGCTCCACGTCAGGCTCGGCGTTGAGTGTGGAGCCTACCTAGGAGTTTCTCTCTCCCCCCGCCCTCCCTGTTTGCGCACAACATTGTCCTTTCTCTGTCTCTGTCTCTCTGTCGGAGAAAAAGAAAAAGAATATGTAAAACATCTGGGCTGTTGGCCTCTCCCCCTTCTCACTGTTTAAATGAAAATAGCTCCATGCAGATGAGTATGAAAAGATGTTCATTTCAGTCCACACCATTACACTGAGAGTATAACACCTCAGCCCAGAGTTTGCCAATTCTTATTTCAAAAATAAGGCAAAGACCCCTTTTTATTTTCTAAAAAGTTTTAGGTCCTAGCTACGAATGAAGTGAAAGATCATTACAGGAACCTGTATATTCAGAGATCTATACCTGGGATGTGAAGACAATTGTTTTCTATTACATATAGACTCGTGGAGGCAGCCACACACTCAGGTGTCCATTCAAGGCCTCAGATAGAGTATAGGAAGCAAATGCATTTAGGCAAACAGAAGGTCACAGTGTACTAACCCAAATCTATTTGCCTTACAGGACAGGACATTGGAAATTTGAAGACCTCCCTGAGCAATTACAACCAGGCGGTGTGTGTATATATTTAGAAAACTGTCAGATGAGCCTAATGTCCTGAATGTTGTCCCTGCCCATCCTGTCCCCTGTGCTCTGTCTCTCCTGGTATCCCCCAAATAAACCTTTCACAGTTCTGTCTCTGTGTCAGCGTCTGCCTTCAGGAGGCCCTACACTCACTCGCCTTCGAGTGCACAGTGTGAATCCCGTACACAGAACAAACTGGCAGCAATGGTGGTGATGGAGGATATAGCAGGATTCCCCGTTGTGGTATCTTTCCTGCAAGGGGCGTAAGAAATCCTTCTGTGGAGGTGGACACATCTTGTATTTAGGTTTGTTGGTGGTTGTAGTAACCCAGGTGATAGATACTGTTGAGCACATGGTGCCTGCTAGTTTAGGGGATGTGTGTCGAGCAGCAGGACAGGGGTCTGTCCCCAGGCAGCGGTGTGTTGTGACGGTGAGGAATGAATGAAGCATCCCTAGTGGCCCTGGGAGACCGGTGAGGAGGCCCTGCATTAATCCAGGTTTTGTGCACTGGTTTCACCTTACGAGCTGTCCCCCAACCGCAGGAGGGCTCTGAGGGGGGGCTGATGGTGGCAGTTTTCTTGTTAAGACCCATGATGCCCATAATCCTCCCACAGTGTCCTTGTTGAGGGATGGGCAGGGCAGAGGCCAATGACAGGAGACCCATTCCTCCCTCACCACACAGGAGGAGTTGGGTGTATGCCTCTGTCAATTTTTAGGTTGTTTACTCCAATCCATTCTGCACCAGAGCTCCTGGATCTTGCAAAGCCCTCCTTCTTCCCAGGTTGTGGAAGCAGCCATCCTCCAGTAGCTTTGGGGTCATGGCTGGGCCACTAAGGTGTCCAGGTTTTTCTGTCCAGGAGTGGCTGGTAACTGCACTGCTGCAGTTAAGGTCAGGCTGAGCAGCCTTTGTAAATGAGATTGTCATGCCCTGTGAGCAGGGTCTGGGG